TAAATAGCAGAAAGGCTGAGGAGTGGTTCAGGAGGAACTGAGGCTGGGAGCCCAGGCCTGAGGTAATTCAGGGCCAGCCCCAGAGGGGAGACCTTGGCCTTGTGTAGACCTGCTGCTCAGCCCTGTCCCCGGGACAGCTGGCAAAAGGCTTGAACCTGGCCATCCCAGGCAGTCTGCTGGCACCATCTCATGGCCAGAGGCCCTCGGTGCAGGAAAGACAATCTGGGAATTTCCCAGCCCGAACTTCTAAGCATGGACTTCAGGGAAACCTTGGATAAGGGGTCTGTATTGAAATGTCCCCTAGCTGGGACACATTGGGGAACTCACTGAAATTTCCTGAGTCTTACTTCCTTCATCTGTAGAATGGAGAGAACACTGTCCCCCACCACCCGCCCGCACTGCAGATAAACCATCCCACAGAGGGTAGGCTGTTAAGAAAGGACACGTTGGGTGGGGAGGGGGGGCGCCTGGGTGGCTCAGTGGGTTAAAGCCTCTGCCTTCAGCTCAGATCATGATCCCAGGGTCCTGGGATCGAGCCCCGCATTGGGCTCTCTGCTCAGAGGGGCACCTACTTCCTCCTCTCTCTGCCTGCTTCTCTACCTACTTGTGATCTCTGTCAAATAAATACATAAATACATAAATACATAAATAAATAAGAAAGAAAGGACACAGGGTCCAGAAGACCCAGAAGTGAGTGTGGACTGCTGTGCATGGAGGGAGTCCAAAGTGGGGGCCTTTAAGTGGGGCCCAGAATGCATTCATTCCGTTAACAAGAGTGTGTGGAGTCTGTGCCATGTGCTGGGGCACTTCCCCTGTGTGGTTCCTTTTATGTCTTACCACAGCCTAGATGGCAGATACCACTAGTCATTCTCATTGAAAATGAGATATGAGAACTACAGGAAGGATAAGCAGGGATTATTTGGAGAAGGTGGGGGGAAAGCATCCCAGGCAGAGGAAACAGCATGCACGTTCGCCTGGGCATCGGAAAGCCTGGTAGGGAAGGGCTGAAACTGGACTCGGGAGCCCTCAAAGGCCTGGGAGCATGGCCAGCCCCCTCAGGCCTCCTGCTGGGCCCCTCTTCAGATGACGTATCCCATGCTATGCTGTTGTTCATTTCTCACACGAGGTCGGCTCCTTCCCCACCTGAGAACATCATGCCGTCTTCACTCTTCATTCGTCCAAGCTTTCCTGGTCCTTTAAGGCCCAGCCACAGATGTGCCTTCTCCAGGATCCATTCTGGGTCACTCTGTCCTAGGGGTACCCATAACCCCAATGATCTGAGCTCTCCCTTCTGGGCCCCACCCAGATAGCAAGAACTCAGACTCAAGCCCCGCTCTGAGGCTCACACCCCCAGGAAGCCCACAGAACTGCTCCCATTCTTGGGACAGACACTATGATAGGGGTGACCACTGGAGATTGTCCTGGGAACCCAGCAAAGAACTGGTCGCTGGGCTGAAGGCCAGGTCTCCTTGCCCTCGGGGGCTCCAGCACCGCTAAAATCAGAACAGGAGACCCACACTTGGATCTGGCACAAGCAATCTCCTAGCACAGACCTGAATAAACAGTAGGTGCTCAATCCTTGCACAGCTGACCAAGTGTTTGCTGGCAGTCCAAATCTGAATTTTCTCAGTTTGACCCAGACTTTTGTCTCCGACTTGGTTCCCTAATCCCCTTGCTGGTAAAGTGGGTTTGGGTGGGAGGTCAGTGCTTACACCTTCCAGGGTAGAAAGGGTCCTCCCTCACTCTGGCCTCTCATCCTCACGACATGCTGGTGGCCGGTATGGCCACATTCCACTAAGGCTCAGAGAGGGGAAGGGGCTTGTAAATAGGGACCAAAGTAGAACAAGAACCTGGGCCTCAGATGCCCAAGGACGTGTTCCTTCCCTGCGCTGTGCTGTCCCCCCTCCCCTAGCTGCCTTAGCTGCTCCCAATCAAAGCCTCCTTCCTTCAGGTCACCCCTCTCAAATGCTGCTCTACTACCGGAGCTGGCCTCCTCGGGATAATGAGAAGCCACCTCACTTCCCCTGGCCGTCCTGACAGCTATGAGTCTTGGTTTGGGAGCGAGGAGGGGTTGGAAGAGGGCTTGGCACCGGCAGGGAGACTCTCACTCAGGTGAGTTTTCCGGAGGTATCTATCCCCACAACACACACCCATCCCTCCCAGGGGCCCCAGACCTGCCATGTGGAAGGATACAGTGAGTGCTAAGTGGAGGTATATAGGAGGATTGGAGGGTATACAGCAGAAGTTCAATAAATGGTTTTGGAGAAAAGGAAGAGAGGGAAGGGGGGAGGGAGAAGGTGAGCAAATAAGTGAATGTCTAAGTGGATTGCCAGGTGGAGGGATGGACATGTTCATGAATTAGCTATTGAATGAATGGAGAAAGGAGGGATGGCTGGGGAATGAGTGACTGGGAGGTGACTCTGGGTGTTACAGCTAAAGGGGGAGCCAAAAGCTCTTTTATCACCAACATGCCCATTTGACAGATGAGAAGACTGACAGAGGGCTGAGGAGAAAGGAAGCTGCTGGGTCTGTGGGGGTAGCCTTTGACCAGCAGCCTCTGGTTCTCTTCTCACCTCTCTTTCTACCCCCACATCACCTTCTTTCCTCTGCTGGGGTGGGGAGGGTTCCAGGAAGGAGAACTTTTCTCCGCCTCCTTGCTCCTCTAGGCCCAGTTTCCGCCAGGCCTCAGTGTTGGGGGTGGCAGGGAGGGGGTGGCCCCTGCAGGGGCTATTTCAGTCAGAGACAGCCCTGCCAGGAAACAGAGGAAGCCGCCCGCCCCATCGGAGGTGTTTCAGCCTGGGCTCAGGACAGGAGAGTGGAGAGCCTCACATCTGGCTTTCCCTTGTGCCAACGCATTCAAGGCCACCCAGGTGCTTCGGGGACAGGAGGCCGCATGTGAGTGTTGGTGCATCCTGGCACCAGGGGCCAGTATGAGGCGGGCATGGGAGCTGGACCCAAGGAACTGTGACTTTGGGTGGGCAGGCAGGCTGGGCCCCGCACTGACCTAAAGGAGGTCCACAGTGTTGGGGGGTGGGCGTAGAAGAAGCAACTCCACTCAACCGGAGGCCCAGAAAGGAGGAAGCAAGATCAGATCTGGAGCTGGATGGACACTTAGTGTTTTGATAGGCATGGGATGAATGGCACTTCGTGTGGAGGGAGCTGCCAAGATGGGGAGGCTAGAGGGGAAGTCTGGATCTCTGGCTTTGAACGGTCTTGTGGCAGAGGTGGTGTCTCAGGGACAGTGCGGCAGGACAGGAGGGGACTGAGGGGTGCAACCAGGGGGCCCTTGGATGAGGCTGGAGGGCTCGGCAGCAAGCTGCGATGTCAGGAGTTTGAGCTTTCCCTCAAAGGGCAGACGGATGCAGGGAAGGATGTCATCTATCAGAGCAACTTGCTAGAAAGCCCCCGACCGTAGTCAGAGTGGCCGGAGCCCAGGAGGACATTGGGGCCTGAGATGGCCCAGGGCTCAGGGCTCAAGAATGAGTGACAGCCGTGAGAGATCGAGGAGCCCGTGTTAGCTGCTGCTGGGAGGCAGGGGCCAAGGGAGCCCTCCCTCAGAACCATCCCCTACCCCACCTAGGGCAGCCTCTGACTCCTTCCAAGAGGACTAGTCTTACCAGGGGGTGGAGAGCAGAAAATATCTGGAGCCTGGGCGCCTGGGTGGCTCAGTGGTTAAAGCCTCTGCCTTCGGCTCGGGTCGTGATCCCAGGGTCCTGGGATCGAGACCCACATGGGGCTCTCTGCTCGGCGGGGAGCCTGCTTCCTCCTCTCTCTCTGCCTGCCTCTCTGCCTACTTGTGATCCCTGTCTGTCAAATAAATAAATAAAATCTTAAAAAAAATATATCTGGAGCCTCCCATCACCTGAGGCAGAGGTCTCTTTCCTGGGGTGGCATCGAGGACAACAAGCCTCCCAAAAATGTTCAGAGGCACAGCGCTGCTCCTTCTACCAGCTTCTTCCTTCTTACCATGACCGTCAGCCCTAGTAGGCAGCTCTCCTCTCAAGGCCTGCCTCTTCTCCGCACCCCCAGACCTGAGGACACCCCTCCCCACCCAGGGATCTCCTCCTCAACCTCCCGGGTCATGTTCCACTCTTTCTCCTCCTCTGAAAAGTCTCTTCCATCCTATGGCTCACATGGGTCCCCCTCTTCGGACCAGCAGATGTGTATGTATAATTTTTATATCTCTATCTACATCTGCATCTGTATACTGTACCTGCATGTGCCCAGCAGGTAATAAGTGTTCATTTAAATGCCTCACAGGTGAAAACAGAAGAATGAATGCATAAATGAAAGAAAGGCCCAGACAAATGAATGAGGTGATGAGGAAATGAACTTTCTCTGCCTGTACTAATCTTGGCTTCTTGGTTACAATGGGGGGGCTGGCCATGCTTCTGCCTCTGCACCCCCCCACCTCCTAACTGGCTAGCTGGGCACCCAGCATTCCTAGCACCTGGGCTGAAACCCCACAAAGGGTTTTTCATAATTTAAGGTAATATGGCCTGTGGGACTATAAACTAGAAACTTGTTGAACCTCATTTTGCAGTTTCCCAGAATCTGGGAAAAATATTTTCATCAAAATCAAATTGAAAGTTGAAAGAAATCAGTTTGGGTAGTTAGGTTTTGCTCTAACATAACTTTGAAAAATATCATAACTTGACTTAGCAGGGTGTATTCACATTAAGAATAGCCAACACCTGCCCTGTGCCAGGCACTGATCTTTATAACAAGCCTAGGAAGCAGGTACTATATGAGCCCGTTTTATAGATGGGGAAACCAAGGCATGGAAGTCCAATAATGAGCCTTAAGGCCCCACAGTTCACATGTAGCAGAGCTGGGATTTGAACCTGGGCATCTGGACCTGAGCCCATGTACTTGGCCTCAACCCTCTATCCTGTTCTGTGTGCATTTGCAGGATTTCATATTTTTTCCTTTGCTTGAGTTTTTCCCATCTATTAATAGGGAGGGGGTGATCTGCCCACTATCTCAAAGGGTTTTGTCTTACAGGTCCATTGGATTTAAGTTGTGAATTCTCGCTGGACACTAGGAAATGTGGACATGCTGGTTGGGAGGTAGGTATCAAGAAGTCAGACCTACCTCACCATGGAACCCCCTTAAGGCACCTGTGCTTCTGACTCCCCCAGAACCTAGCCTGAGGGAAGAATGGAGGGATGAGGTATAGGATACAGCAGCACAGCCTAGCATTTATTAAGCACCTACTATATACCAGGCCTATGATATGTTTTACCGATAACAGAGATTTAGAAAAGTCAAGTTTGACATGTCTTGGGTTGAAGAGCATAGAAGTAAGGGAGCCAGGATTTGAATGAGGTTTGCCTAGCTCTGACATTTGGTTTATAGCCTCTACATTCCATGACCCTGGGCTACGCTAAGTTGCAGCCTCTCAGTCAGGAGGGCAGTCTATGGTTCTGGCTCTGCTTCTAACTCACGGAGTAAGACTGAGCCACCACAGCCTCTGGCTGTGCTGTATTTTCCTCTCTATGAAAAGCAAGCAGGAGGGGCACTTGGCTGCCTCTGTCACACAACACTTGGTCTTCGGGTTGTGAGTTCGAGCCCCACCTGGGGTATAGAGATTACTTAAAAATTAAAGTTTTAGAAAAACAAAGCAAAACTCAACTCAACTCAACTCAACTCAACTAAACAAAACAAAACCCTGAAAAACAAAAAAACAAGGAAGCAGATTCGGCTGGTGCCCAGCCATTTGCCTTCAGGAACGCTGTTCTCACTGTAGCCACCAGAGGGTGCTGTGACCCAGTGGCTAGGCCAGACCCGCATTTGTAGCCTGAAGTCAAGTGGAAGGAGCTTAGGGGACTCCTGAATCACTTTCTTCCTCCATTTTACAGATAAGAAGACTGCAGCCAAAAGAAGGACCATGGCTTTGGAAGGTGGAGTCCAGGCTGAGGAGGTGGGCGCTGTCCTTTGTCAGCCCACAGTGTATGGACGTTCTGTTCCTGTTGATTAATTCAGAATTACCAGGGCCTTCTCTGCCCTGGACCCAGACCACGCTCTCAGACACAGAGGAGCATCAGACCTGGCACTTCTCTTCAGGAGGTTCCAGTCAGTGCTGGAGAGACAGACAGGCAGGCTCACCATGACCATAATCTCCAAACTCCAAAAAGCCCAGGGAAGCCCTGCATAGTTTGATTTAGTACCTCTAATCTCTTATCATTCTGAAAGATGGGTGTATCTTTCTGCCATTTTTCAAATAGGAAAATTGAGACTCAGATAAGGTATATCACTAGCCCAAGGTCACAAAGCTAGTAGGTAGCACAGGTGGGACACAAACTAAAGTCTGTGTGGGGTACCTGGCTGGCTTAGCCAGCAGAGCATGCATCTCTTGATCTGGGGGTCATGAGTTTGAGCCCCACGTTGGGTGTAGAGATTACTTAAATAAATAAAACTTTTTAAAAAAGATTTAAAACAAACAAAAAAACAAAAACAAACTAAAGTCTGTCAATCTCCACTTCCAGAGGAGACATTTGACTAGGGTTTTGAAGGATGAATAGAAGTTCGCCAGGAAGGTTGGTGGGAAATGAATATTGTAGAAAGTGAGCCATATTTTCCCCAAGCTTGAGCTTTATTGTATTCTAGGTTTCCTTAAAGTGAGGACTATGTAGGGCCTCCATGGGATGGTGAGTATCAGAGATGGTTCAAGTGAAGATAAGGGCCCAGAGAGGGACAGGGGCCTACCAGATGGTCAGTGAGTATGGTTACTGACAGGTTGTGTGTTGCTTCCCCAGCCTCTCTGGATGTAGGAAGCGCAGTCGGGCAGCCATGGAGTGGGACAATGGTACAGGCCAGGCCCTGGGCTCCCCGCCCACCACCTGTGTCTACCAAGAGAACTTCAAGAGACTGCTCCTGCCACCCGTGTACTCAGTGGTGCTGGCGGCTGGCCTGCCCCTGAATGCCTGTGTCATTGCCCAGATCTGCACCTCCCGCCGGGCCCTGACCCGCACAGCTGTGTACACCCTGAACTTGGCCCTGGCTGACCTGCTCTATGCCTGCTCCCTGCCCCTGCTCATCTACAACTACGCCCAGGGGGACCACTGGCCCTTTGGCGACCTCGCCTGTCGCCTGGTCCGCTTCCTCTTTTACGCCAACCTCCATGGCAGCATACTCTTCCTCACCTGCATCAGTTTCCAGCGCTACCTAGGCATCTGCTACCCGCTGGCCCCCTGGCACAAGCGTGGGGGCCGCCGCGTGGCCTGGCTGGTGTGCGGGGCCGTGTGGCTGGCTGTGACAACCCAGTGCCTGCCCACAGCCCTCTTCGCCGCCACTGGCATCCAGCGTAACCGCACCGTCTGCTACGACTTGAGCCCACCGGCCCTGGCCGCCCGCTATATGCCCTATGGCATGGCCCTCACCGTCATCGGCTTCCTGCTGCCCTTCATCGCCCTGCTGGCCTGCTACTGCTGCCTGGCCCGCCGTCTGTGCCGCCAGGACGGACCAGTGGGGCCAGTGGCCCGGGAACGGCGCGGCAAGGCGGCCCGCATGGCCCTGGTGGTAGCAGCTGCCTTTGCCATTAGCTTCCTGCCCTTCCACATCACCAAGACCGCCTACCTGGCAGTGCGCTCCACAGCCGGTGTCCCCTGCCCCGTGCTGGAGGCCTTTGCCGCTGCCTACAAGGGCACGCGGCCCTTTGCCAGTGCCAACAGTATGCTGGACCCCATCCTCTTCTACTTCACTCAGAAGAAGTTCCGCCGGCGGCCACAGGAGCTGCTCCAGAAACTCACAGCCACGTGGCAGCGACAGGGTCACTGAGTCCGCTGGGGCAGGACACCTGGGGCCTGGGCACCAGAAGCCCCTCCAACCCCAAACCAGGCAGAGAATTAGAGCTTAGCTCAGCTGGGCATGGAGTGAGGTCCCCCACAGACTCCAGAATCTCACCGATGACTATTCCTTGAGCCCATGCTCTGGACCTGTGGGCGCAGAGAGACAGGCTTGAACCTGGCCTTCCAGAAGGTGCCAGTCAGCCCCCCGGGGAGTCAGGGAAGCTGCCAGAAGCTGTTCGCATGGCACGCATGGCACGTACTGTAATTGAGGAGTGTGCTGGATGCTTTGGAGTCAGCAGTATAGGGACTGAGGGAAGATGGGAGGAGGAGGTGAGAAGTTCTGGAAAGGAGTGTTCTAGCTGGACTTTGATGGGTTGAGTATGAGCTCTCTAGAGGTGTGTGATGGTCCCTTCATTCAGCGCACCTTTACCTACACCTTGTCCTTGGGCCTGGGTTGATTCAGGGGCACTGGGAGAACCAGTACTAGCCCTGCCCCATATAGGCTCCCAACTACTGGGCTTACAGACACTTGACACAATGATGTCAAGGCTGGGACAGATAAATAGAGAATGCCCATGATCCAGTCCAAGGAGTCAGGAAAGATCTCTTGGGATGGGATGGGGTGGGGGGGGGGGCATCTGAACCAGATGTTGAAGACTGAGTAGGAGGTCAGCCAATAGAAGTGGGAGCATGTTCCCACAGCTCTAGGCTAGACTCTGCCCTGGGGTAGAGGGGTAGAGAGAGCTGGGGTGGGGGGCAGGCATATGGCCTCCTGTGTGTGAAAACTGGGGAAATGAGAGCTGTCCCTTGGCCACCCTCCCGATAAGGGCAAGCGTGGCCTCAAATGTTTCAGCCTGTGGGGACTCGGCAGAGGAAGGAATCAGAGCACGTCTTCAGAGAGGTGGAGCTTGAGCTGGGGAGGAATCCAAAATGTAGAGAGAGGCAGGCTGCTCCTGATGGAAGGCACTGTATGTCTATAAAACCCCAGAGGTGGAGATGTGCTGACTCTGGCCCTGAACAGTGAGTTTCCGTTAAGCCCGGAGGGGGCGGTGTGGGCAGAACCAGAGCACTGAACGCCAGGAAGAGCCCCAGACTCTACCTCTTCTCCACCTACCTCTTCAAATGTGCCTCTTTCAGCCTCGGGGGAGCCTGGGTGCCTGAGAACCCCTCCACCAGGCCTCCCAAGTAAGAGGAAGTACCCCTTCAACAGTGCTTCATTCTAGAAGAAGTCAACAGCTTGAAGAGGTGCAGGGCCACCAGGAGGCTGCAACATGGAGGTGCAGAGGTTCTGTGGCCAGGAGCCTGCTAACCAGTCTCAAGATAGCCTGTTCCATGTGTTCTGCTCCTGCCCTCCCGGCTCCATCATTCTGGCCTGTGGGTGCCTGAGAGCCGCTGGAGGCCATCTCATGGAGGCATCTCAAACACACCTGAGCCTTCGAAAGCTTTGGAAAGGCATCTTCACTGAAGATCTCTGAGGGATTCCACCACATAAGAACTCTTTACCTGCTCTTCCCACCCATGCCTCCTTTTAGCCCCACCCATAGAGCTCCTTATTTTCTCTGCTCCTTTTCCTCTCTATCTCCACCACCCTGCCCACCCCATCCCCCGCTTCACTTCTCCTCAGGTCCCTGTTCCCTCCTCCCAGAGCTCAGCTTTCCTCCTGTAGAACAATCTAGCCTGCCCTTGGCTGCTGGTATATCACTCAGACCCTGTACACAAACCAGCCGTGACCAAGAGCCTCCCTTCTCAGAAAGTGGAGGGGTGAGGGCAGGGCAGAGGGACAGGGCAGGGAAGGGAAGGACTGCGTAACTTAGTATTTTTCTTTTAGCCCTCTCATCTCCAGGGCTGTTGGGCAATGGGGCCCTTCAGAGAAGGACTCTGCCGGAGTTAAACTCCATAGTCATGCTGGAGACGTGCTTGCAGCTGGCTGAGGAAGGGGGAAAACCAGGCCCAGCCCATCTTGGAAATCCATCAAAAGTGCCCCGATAATTTGGACAGAAGGAACTCTTTGGGTTACAGCAGAAAGACGTGAGGCAATGTCAGAAGAGGTCTGTTCCCTCTACAATGCAATGTCATGCCAAGCACTACAGATCCTAACTACTTTGCATCTTGTTCCGAGTCAGCTGCCTGTCCCAGGGAAGTAGGGGAATGGGCGACCAGAAGGCAGAGGACCTCTGCCCACAGTGCCGGCTGAGCCCTGTGGGGACTCCCAGGTGACCGTGCAGCAGACTGCCAAGAACTGTGACGCTCTGGTTACTTTTCCAAGAGTGGAAATGGTGGGCCGCAGGTGAATCCCATTCCCAGCTTCCCTTTGAGAGCCAGAATCGCATAAAGGGTAGGGATTCCAGATCCAGGTCCCCTTGGTGTTTATCTTGGCCCGACCACTCAGCAGCTGTCTTACTCTGTGCGAGTTCTTTAGCCTCCTTGTGCCTTAACTTCCCCAGCTGTAAAATGGAAACAGTAATGATATCTATCTTGTAAAATGGTTGTGAAGATTAATATGTGCAAAGCACTTAGAATAATATCCGGAACAGAATAAGCGTGCAATGCCTGGTACTATTATAATGAACTTGCCTATTGTACGCACAAGTTCCTTCAGCATCTCTCTCTAGGAACTGGCCTGGGAGGTTTCTAAACAAGAGGCTAAGAGCAGAGGATTTCTCCTTGCCTTCACCTGGAAGGCAGCTGGTCTTCTAAGAAAAAAACTCAGCACACTTTTGTCAGAACAAGGGCCATAATCCATGAGCCCCATCTGTTCCTGCAAGAAGGAAAAGTCATTTATTACATGAGAGTACAAGGAATTCCAGGTGCCATTCGGGGAGCCTGAATTGCCCACTTCCTTTTCCCTCCTTTTGTCCCCACACCCCTACTCTCTTCACTTTAACCCAGAGCACACTCCGTGATGGGGGATCACACTGGAGAGGTCTGCTTGCTGGGGTGGAGGGGACAGAGACAAGGTGTGGGGATAGAGCATGGTGAGGGGTCTGGGGAGCACATGGGTTCACAGGGATCCAGGGTGATTCTCAGGGCTTGGGGAAGACTTCCTGGGGAGTAGAGTCGTGCCACTGGGGCTTGAAGGATGGCTGTAATTAGACGGAAGACGAGAGGGCCAGGTTGTTCCTGGTGCAGGGAACAGCACAGCCCAAGGCATGGAGGCTGTTGGAGGATGGTTAGGAAGGGTTGTGGCATGAGATTGGGCTTAACAGCTGTCATGGCTAGAGAGTCAAAAGCTTGGTGCCAGCCCGGGAAGCACCGGGAAGTCACAACAATGACAGCAGTGGCCATTCGCTGGGCTCTACAAGTTCTAGGCACTGCAGTGTGCTGTATACACATTTTCTCGTTTAATCCTTACATTACCTCCAATTACAGATGGGGAAACTGAGGCCCAGTTGTGGGAATCAACATGTCAAGGTCACACAGTCTTTTTCTAAACCAGATACTAGGATGCCAGCTCTTCCATACTCCCTCCCTTCCCTTTCCTTTCTTCAGTTGCCTTCCAAGTGTCCACCTGCCTCAGCCAGTCCTAGTAATGGGACCGCCTAGGAAGTTGTGACAGAGATAGCTAAGTGCCAACCGCAACTCTCTTTTATTTATTTTTTTTAATATATATTTTATTTATTTATTTGAGAGAGAGGCAGTGAGAGAGAGCATGAGCGAGGAGAAGGTCAGAGGGAAAAGCAGACTCCCCGTGGAGCTGGGAGCCCGATGCGGGACTCGATCCCGGGACTCTGGGGTCATGACCTGAGCCGAAAGCAGTCGTCCAACCAACTGAGCCACCCAAGCGTCCCCGCAACTCTCTTTTAATTGGGCACCTGTCCTCCTAGGATGAAAACTTCATTTCCCATCCTTACCTGTAGCTAAGTATGACCAGGTACCTTAATCCTGGGCAATTGGAGATAAGCAAAGTACCTTAAGGCAATTTAATATGGGGAGGGGGTGAATGTCTGTAAAAGAGTGGTAGTATCTGTCTGTCCTTTGCCTCCCCTCCCTTCTCACTGCTTACAAAGGGGACATCACAACTGGAGCACCATCTTGGACCATGAGAAACAGCTTGGGTTTCTGACCATTCCGGTTTGGGACCACCTAAATTGGGACTTTTGCACAAGAGAGAAATAAATGTCTGTCTTTTCTAAGCCACTAGCTTTCCGGGCTGTTGTTACCCACAGCCAGATGAATCCCTTTATTCGGGTTCTATACTGAAATGAGGACCTAGGGGGAGGCCAGGCAGTGTCCTGGACTGGGGTGGGGGCCAGTGTCTTGCCTGGTGACAACCTAGGAGTCAACAGGGTCTGGGGATACCCAAGAAGGCTTAGAAAAGTTGCCGCAAAACTTGGGGAGTGGTCGTGCTGCGTTTGGCTGGAGGCTTAAGGGGTGGATGGGTTTCCTGAGGGAGAGACTAAGAAGGAAGAGCCTGGAGAACCCTGGGAATTCCATTAAGGGGCTGGGGAGGATGGGGAGCCAGAGATACGGCCTGGGGTTTTCAGAGTGGTGGTGGAAGGGGAGGTGGGTGAGGAGAGGAAGTGGAGGCGATGGGTGGGGAAGAAAAGAGAGAAGTTTCCCAGGGAGGCCCCGTCCAGGGAAGGCAATTCTATGACAGGAGACCTGCGAGTGTTGGCTGTTGTGGGTTGAGGACAGGGGCAGGGCCAAAGATGGAGGAGAGAGAGAGAGTCAGGAACCAGGGTCTGTCCTTTTGGAAAAGCCCAGGGGCACTGGATCTGTCCTAGCAACAGAAGCAGCTTTCTCCTCCTTCCCTCATTCATTTGTTCCACACACATTCTCTCTGCTCCTCCAAGATGGCAATGGGAACACAGAGGCAGCTCAGACCCAGACCCTACCCTCAGAAAGAATCTGGGGGTGAGGGTGGGGGTACAGACAAGGAAGCAGTTCAGCCACTAGACAACATTTATTGAACATTGAACACCTACTATGTGCCAGGCATCATGCTGAACAGTGGGTCCCTGCCCCTCAGGGAGTTCCTAGTCTGATGGAGGAGAACGGCAGTAATGAAATAAACAGAAACCTGGATCATTACAGCTAGGGGAAGAGAGCTCAGAAGAACATAAAGAGGGGTAGGGGGCGGGGCGCCTGGGTGGCTCAGTTGGCCAGCTGCCTTTGGCTCTGGTAGTGATGTCGGAAGCCCCACCTCCGGCTCTGCAGGGAGCCTGTTTCCTCCCTCCGCCTGCCTCTCCCCCCAGCCTATGAATATGCTCTCCCCGCCTCTCTCTCAAATAAGTAAATAAAATCTTTAAAAAGAGAAGAAATCTCGGGGCGCCTGGGTGGCTCAGTGGGTTAAGCCTCTGCCTTTGGCTCAGGTCATGATCCCAGGGTCCTGGGATCGAGCCCCGCATCAGGCTCCAGAGAGCCTGCTTCCCCTTCTCTCTCTACCTGCCTCTCTGCCTACTTGTGATCTTTCTCTCTGTCAAATAAATAAATAAAATCTTTAAAAAAAATAAATAAAAAATAAAAAGAAGAAATCTCAAAAAAATTATACACAGCAAAATGTCCTTTTGATAAAGACAACTGAAATGAAAATATATACTTTGAAGGAATACACAGATGCAACAAATCTGTACAAAAAGGAAAGCAAAGGCACACTGAACACAGGAGGTAATGGTTATCCTGGGTGGTACCGCAGCAGAATGGGTTAGAGAAACTATGTAATGAGATGTAGGACACTGTCAAAGTCCTAGCTGTTCTGTTTTGTGGTGGGAGCCAATTAAATAAGTGGTGAGAATGAGTCATGAATAAAAGGTTATAAGTAATCCAATTCTGTGCATTTGAGGTCTAATTATACAGGAAAGGGGACAATCTCAGGTCATTTCTAATTGACTTGGGAATGGAGTCAGGAGCCTGATTCCCCCTAAGACAGTTTCTTCCCGGAGCTCATTGCTTCTTGGGGTCTTCTCCTCATTTTTTTTCCCTCTTATGTACTCAAGGCCCATCATTGGCCATGACTAGGACTACCACAACCTTAATATCTTGATTTCTCCAAGAGATTTACAGCCCTGATCTTGCTGGGTCACCATGACTTACTGGGTAGATGGATTAATGTTTTCATTCCCCTTTCATAGGTGAGGAGCCCGAGAGTGACCTGCTGAGGGTCCCAGGCATGTCTGTTAGGGTGCCTGCATTGGGCCCAGCTCTAGATTCCCAGCACAGTGCTCCCCTCTCCACCTTGGGGCCTGGTGTTTCCAGACACCTCCTAGATGAGTCTTTGAAGGGCTAAACACAATCAGGGTGTCTGTATACCTAGAAGATGATTTTCTCTCATACTGAATCAGAAGGGGCTAAAGCTGGGAGGACTCAGGAGGTGCTGGGAGCAGCCAAGCCACTCTCTGGGTGAGTATCCCATTGGGTGGAGGCCAAGCTCAGATCCTTAAACACTCTCCCTCCCCAACAAGGGAAATTCCTGATCCAGAGGCCCCAGTTAGCCCACCTCCAGGCCAAGCTGCAGGATGCTGAGGTGGCCTGAGTCTCTGCTCCTATCCATCAGTTCGCCCATCTGTGATATGGGAATAAAAACCTCTATTCTAGAAGTGATATGAAGACAAAATATGACAGGATGTGAAAGAGTTTGGAAAATACAAATTTGAGATGCTAGGGACCATTGTCATTAGAGTAAAGCAGTGACTCCTAGAATGAGGTTCCCCCCCCCACCATACCAAAATTTCCCCAAAAAAGTAGAAAAACACTACAGAGCAAACAAAAGCCTGACTTCAAATAGAGTCAGAGAGGTACCCTTGGGGAAATCTAGACCCACTCCTCACTTTCCAGATGAGACAGCTGAGGCCCAGGGAAGTGTAAGGATATGCCCCAAGGCCACACAGCAAGGCCAAGGTAGAGAGGCACTAGGCCAGGCAGGGCTCTCCTTCTTGCCATTAATTCCTCGAGAGATGTCCTTTTGAGGCAGAGCTGAGACAAAGTTGAGGTAAGGGACTTAACAGGAGGCTGGTCTCCACTCCAAGAGGAAGTTTTCTCCCTACAAGGATTTGCCACAACCCAAGGGAAGCAGTAGGCAGGGCGCCAGATCCCAGCTGAGTCTTCCTTTTCTCATGAAGTAGTCAATCCCTCAGTGTCTACTGTCCTGCCCTATACCCATCCCTGCCCCTCTCATCTGGACCGGGGCCTCCTGCTCCCAGGGCCTGTCAGCCTAGTCAGGCCCAGACACAGTCCTCTTGAGCTGAGGGGAGTGCGAGTCAGACCATGTTATCCTCTGTTCCCAGGGAAGGTGGGAAGAAGAGGCTGCTGGGGGCTCAAGGAGAGAGAAACCCTCTCTTCATCAGGGATCTGGGACCAATGAAGACTAGAGGGGAGCATAGTGTTCGAAGCCCCTCAAATCTGAATTTGAGTAATTGAAGGTGCTGCCATTTTCTGACTTTGACAGTGGTCAAAGTTACATCTCCTTCATGACCCACAGAGAAGAGGCAATATTATCCACCTACAGGGTGGTTCTAGGATTAAATAAAATGAATGAAATAATACTATCCATACATCCAAGGCACTCCATAAACTCTCATTGGTTCATTCAGATGTCAAGGAGGTCCCTTGCATTTAAGTTGGGACCCTGAGGATGAATGGGACCTCCCAGAGGCAGGTGGGGCGGGGAAGGCCCCAATACCCGGGACAATGGAAGAATTGCCAGACAAGGGCAGAGGTGGAAGGAGAGCTCAAGGTCGGATCAGACTGAAGCGACAGAGGCGACCCACTTCTACTAGGAGCATGAGGGCCCCAGGTAGGCGTGTCGGTTTGGCAGTGGCAAATCAAGGGCGTTTCAGTTGAAGCTCCTGTTGTGTGTGTGGCGAAGGGACTAGGCTTGGGAAAAGGTTCTTGCAGGGATTAGTTAAGGGCTGAAAGAAGGGAAAGGAAATGAAGACTTCCCAACCCTCCCATTTTTGGGGGATGGGAACTGCTTTTCTTGTCCAGGACTCCACATGGTGGGAGAATCCGGCCGGTAGAGGGCGTAAGAGCCGCGTACCACTGAGCTCAGGAGGGGGGCGGGGGGCTCAGGGCGGAGCATCGAGGAGAGGGACCTCGGAGATCGCCGGGACAGGTGGGGGGCGTGACTATGGTGGGGAGCTGTAAACGTGAA